TCAGATTTTGAAATAAGAAAATTATTTTTTGCGTTAAAGATATCATTATCCATTTTATTAGATTTATTTTTCGTTTGCTGATATAATTTATTTGTAATGCCATTTTAAATATAACGTATAAAATAAAAAATAATATATATAGAGAGAGTAATATGTGTTCTTGTCATAATACGTTAGAAATGCTATTTTTCATTAGCTCTATATTGCTGATATAATTCGTGACTTTATAATAAATTGGAAATGAAATATCATTCGGTTGTTAAAATCCATGTCCACATATAGTTGCAATTAGCAATTTCATATCAAAATTCCTTTGCGGATCAATGAACCCGCCGTAAAATCGCCTATAAACTTTGATTTCATCGACGATCATGCTGTGCCGCATTGCAATGACCACGATAACCGATTATGGCCCTGAATTATGAAGGAAGTTTTAAACCGCCCTGCCTTCATTGGCAAACGCAATTAATTAGCGAAGAGCCGCCCGCCTATGAATTATTCGTATTTCTATAGCGTCCACGGACGAGAATGCCATTCGGGCTGTCGAAATGTTTGAATTTCGTACAGGGAGAGATAAATGCTCCGTTGAAATATGTATGTAAGCCGGAATTTCGATCAATGCGTCTGTCTCTTCCTCCTGCCTCCTAATGTCTAGTTGACGAAAAACGTAATAAATTGCCGGCGCCGTGAACGCTTTCGAGTCGGTAAGAAAACTCCGTTTCTGGCATTGACAGCTGGAGAATGTCGCGGGCCTCTTATAGCGAGACATTACGCTGCCTGATGTATAGTCATCTTCCTATGTACCTCGTGCACTAGTACTTGAATTGATAATTTGAGTACGCGTCGTTACGCACAGCGCTACTATTACGATGCTCTCTGTCCGCGATGAAGTCGGATCTATTTTTAATGATGAGAGTGCAAAGAAATTTACAACACAATGACTCGCAATTATTGCGAAATATACGCGTATCATTAAGAAGTTGGCAAATTATTTTTTTATTAAATATTCCGTTGTTTTCAAATCTCGTTACAATTTCTAAAACTTCGACTTTAGTACGATATGAACGTACTTTATCAAGAATATTACCGTAAATTGAATTAACGGTGCGCGTTCCCCAAAATCATTCATAATTATATGAAAAAACTTTATTCCGCGAGCGGCTTTCCCTGCGACATGATTTTCCTCGCGATACCATCGCGTTCGACTCTTGTACAAAACGTCCAGAGAGGAGTTTGATGCGGTACTTTAAAAGTAGTTGCGCTCCAGTCACATCGGTTATATAGTGCGCTATCGTTTAAAGTGTCGCGGTATCGGTGAGAGAACGCGGCGCACGCCACGCGGAACATTGCATTGCGGTCTCCGGGAAGAAATTGCACTCGACGAAATCCAATAGGTCGAGATCGAATCGGTACTCACGACCGTACCGGAGAGCTTTATTTCCTCGGTCTGTCCGCGCAAGCTAAACGAGACTAAACGGAATCCACAACGGCATGAGGTGGCAGCCGACAGCAGCACGCGCTTTCGCTGCCCAGAATCCGTCGTCGCCATTCGTTTCGCGTACAGCGCGATTTTTTTGCACAGAAAAAGAGAGAGAGAGAGAGAGAGAGAGAGATTCAAAGGCAGAAGCTATTAACATCGTGACTTTCCTTTCGTTTAACAGCCAGAACTCATTACCACATCGTATAAGAGTTCCGACAGTTTTCGAGGTAAAGTTGGATTAGAGGTTGGCAGCTCGTTAGCCGGCCTTATCGATTCCTTCTCTTGGATACCATTGTGCGCGGCGTATTAATTAAAAAATGAAAATCCGGGAGGCCCCTCCCCCCGCTCGACACACGAGGAGTTCTGCAATCTTCACTGTGCAAGTTTCGCACATTCTCGCTCGCTCTTTCCACGTCCCTTTTTTTTCCTCCTTTAGAAAACGGCCGCGATGTTATAAATTGCACTGGATCGCTTATCGATTTTCAATTTACTCTTCGGTATCAATAATTCAATGAGCCCCGGAGTACTACTTAAATGAACCTAGTGAAGTTTCAATGGGCCAGCCACGGTTTATCTTTTCATATCTCTTTTATAATCGAGAGCACTGAATTATAAATCGCTACGAAAAACATTCTAAGTCTGATCGATAGAATATTCCGAATGTATAGCTAATTGGATGCGCGTTCATCATACATTGCAAATGTATGATGATGCCTCAAATTAACCGTTGATAGGCGTGAGAAACGTCATGTGCGATCTTACCAAATCATCGATATGGCTCTAATCAGACTCGCATCGCATTTGAATTACAAACAAATGTACATGAACAGATAAGAATGACATCTTGCAATCACTTTGGTCCGCCAATTTATCGAAAGAAAGAGTAATGATTACCGGTGAGTAGCGTGAGTTCGCTGGATGAAGCCTCCAGCGGGATAAAAAGAAATAGGAAGAGAGCGCGAGGGGAGAAACCGGAGTGAGGGAGAGGGCAGTGACAGATACCAGCGTTGGAATCGATCGATCTAGAACGAAATAAAATATGCTCGCGAGAGCACACGGCCATAATTACGAGCGTCGAAGAAAAATACAGCGCGCCATTACCGGAGGGTTAAGTGAACCTGCCGCGATCGGGTTGGATAGAACGAAGAGAGGAAAAGGAGAAGGATGACGCGATACAGAGGAAGAAGGAGGTCAGCAGTAGAATATAACAGGGAGGAAGGAAGGTAGGTATAAAAGAAAGATAGACGGAGAAAAGGAAGCAGGGCAAGGCAAGAGGCCGGAGGAGAAGTATTACTCAGATAACTGAAACGTGGAACGAATGAACGAAGAGAACCTTGAAACGGTTGGTAGGAAACGAGTCGTAGGAGGTGGCCGCAGGAATCACGGGGAGAGGTTATTCTCGCGGGGACCAAGGGTGGAAAACCAAGTACGGCTTGCGTGTTCGGCCGCAAGTTCGCCTTAGCTTCCGGTTGCTCGCATGCTACGAGTCCACTTGTATTATTAGACTCGCCGTACGAACGAACGCACGCCTTCCCGCGGTTTGGACATAGTTCAGTCAGTAGCACACAGCTGTATAGCTATTGAGCACACATACAGGCTCACCGAACACACGATCGGACACACAAGAGCCGTTTCGGACAAAATTCACCCCTAGACGCGGAAGCTAATCGTCGGTTGAATTAATTTCAGAACTGGGAATGGCTTCTGTGTGCCGACACACCGACGGTTACTATCTGAAAGTGGAAAGATATCGGACAATCGAGTGCGACTAATGGTTGCCGGAAATCCTAGACAGCGCGGCGTACTTGCAAACGCGATTTCGATTGTGGTTTAGCGCGAGTACGAGTGGATAAAAGGTTCCGGGTACGAGGTCGTGCGTTTTGCTAAATTCATGTGATCCGACCGACCCCGAGGTTCGAGGTGAATTCTGATATGGTTAGGGAAACTACTATAGACCAGATAAAATCGGTCGTTACAACTTTCACGAGAAAGCATATAAAAGCCATTAAACAAGCTAGATAATTTCTATTATTACGAGAGTAGTGTTAAAGAGATAAAAGTTGCTTTGAGATATTGGTGAATAGTAGCTCTATTTTATCCAAATTTAAAGTAAAAATTTATATATGTATATACGTATATTTTTTTATTTTATCTTATATTATTTTTTTATATCTTACACTATTTATTTATTTATTTATTTATTTCATTTTAAATTACTTTTTACATAAAAATACAGTACCTCCCTACGAGATTTCTCCTGCAATAAACACACTTCAAAAGCTATTCAAAGAAAAAACGTATCTCTCTTCCTTAATTATTACATACAATACTTTGTTCGCGTGATAGATCCAGCTTCGCGTTTCAATTAAAAGCCCCTTCGGTACGTTATTCAACGAGTAAGCTCCATTCGAACGGCAACCAGAAATCAATGAAAAATTTTCAGGTTTAATTTCGAGGAAAATGGCGAAAAATACCGTGTCCGCAACGTGCGCCGAATCAAAGTACTTTTTTATGACTCGATGCGAGGGGTAGTTAAGTTAAATAATGAATGAGAATTAAGCTAGCTGGGTCTGCTGGGGGTACCGAGTTGCTTTGATGTCTGGCAGCAGCCGCCGATTATGGAATCAATTATTGCGCAGTGCTCTCTCTTTGGCTCCGCTATCTTCCTCGATTCGCTCTCGCACTCGCGGCTTCGCAGGCTTTCGTCCGCTACCGCTTTTATATTTCGCTCTCTTTATCTTCTCTGTGTTCCACGTTTTCTCTCCCCTTTGCGTTCGCTTTACCTCTGTCTAGCTTTGTGACGAACACGGAGCAAAAGAGAAGATTTATTCGGTATAGGATGTGAAATTACTCGGACAGTCACGGAGAACCGATTTCGCGAAAGGTCAGCAAAGTCCAGATCCACCCGCGTACATAAGGATACCGCTATTATCGTCCTATAATCTACGTCAATTACCTCTGACGACGGGTAGTATCGCGGAAATAGGACCTTAACTGTCAGTACGTGCTTATTTCTCCCAGTTAATGCACGCACGCATGTCTAAATTTAATCTTAATGACAAATTACGATTTTGATAGAAATTTCATAACATACATCGAGATAATTATATTTACCATTGAAAAAAATATTATGCTATTTGCAAAATAAGCTGGGTTTTTTATTATATTTTTATATATGAATATTTTGAAATGTCCTTTTACAAATTACATTTATAAATTTTATAAATTGCAATTTATATATTTTTATTATCGTCTAGCATTTTTTTGTAATATGATAGGTTATAACGTAATAAATAAATTGCAACAAAGAAATGCAATTTATAAGTTTGATTGCTAAAAGAACTTGGCATTAAATGTTAAGAGAATTTTGCAACGTACAATAAAAAAATTTATTATATGAAAGTCAAATGTATTATAAATATGTTAACACAAATTACAATATAGAATATGTTAACACAAGTCAATGCAAACATTTCTTTTCAATATCCTAGAGAATCTATAACGAAGAATTTCATAAATAGCTTGATAGATATATACATATATACATATGTATTGCAAAAAAGAGCTTATGAATGATCTTCGCAATCGTGTACTGTGTTTTTTGTTATATATGTATGTGCATACACGGTCTTTTCTTAATTAAAAAAAATCAAAAGTTAATTCACGGATTAAAATTAAAGAGTAATACTGTTTATTAACACTGGCTCTTATTTTTCTTGCTCTCTTTGATGGAAATTACGTAACGCTGGGCCACGTTCAACGGTGGCGAGTAACCGGTCGTGTAAGCGGCATCCTCGAAAAGAATTTTGTACTCTTCCGTGGCGGTGGTTGGTAGCTGCTTCACGATCGCTTTGTAAAAGCAGGTAGTCTGCGGATATAATGCCATTACCGTGGAATTTTTCGGAAACAGGGCGTGCGGATCCGTCTCGGGATTCGCCCTCATCAATGGCAACGGCACCACGCGTCTCCGCGACAATGTGTGACGGGGTTTCTGCTCCTCATCGATATCGTCGACCTCGTACTTGTTCGTCGCGGGATTGAATTGCACGACTTCGGCTAGGATCCAGTTCTCCCCCTCCTCGTTGCCTTTTACCAGAGCTGCCACCATGTCACCCATCTTTGCGATGTATGTCGGTTCGGCTGGTATCGCACCACACAAGGGTGGTGGCTTGGCACCTGGTGTTTTTCCTACATAAAGAGGTAGAGTCTGCGCGGTGCTCTGCACCATCTTCATTAGTGCTCCGCGTCTGATGGTCTCCTTGTTGCCGGCGTTTCGCGCCTGTATGCGTCGTTCGTTTCGTATGGTGCGTATCTCGTTGATCTTGGAGAGAGCCTTGCGTAGGATCTCCTCTTCCTGTTGAGCGTCGGTCATCGCGGCATTATACAAGTTCTTCAGCTTCTGCTGGTAGTAAGGGGAAACCTTGTCGTCAGGCGTGACTTTATCGTGGGTCTTCATGATGTTGTTTAGGTTGTGCTCCGAACGGATCCGTTGACTCTCTATATCGTGCAGGAGATTGTAAATGCTCTTCAGATGCTCCTGTATCTGACTCGCTGCCACATCCGCCGTGAATGGCATTGTGAGAATGTGACAATTACACAAGTAACTGTGTATTAATTTCGGTAGATAATAATCTATTCAATCCAACAAGTAATCGATTACGATTCTGCAACAAAAAGGAATAACATATATGTTTTTTTACAATTTAACACAGCACTTTTTTATATAAACATACACATACAATTGAACATATAATTGTGCAGTCTCCAGTAGAAAAAGGGAATATGAATTTTAAATATCATGTTAAACATATGTTATTAATATTTACTACACCTTGCAATATTATACATAATAAAAAAAATTATTTTACATAAAAATTATTATTATACATAATAAAAAATATTATTTTTTTAAAATATCGCACAGATTTGACCTACATCATATTTTATTATCATATTTCCATCATATTTTTCATATTTTCATATTTCATATTTTTTAATTTACGTCAAATACACGTGATAAAAGTTTATTGTCTAATGATATAATTAATATGTAACATTTCTATGAAAATTTTATGTCATTTTGTTTGACACTAGTAAAGAGCGTATGGTCATTCATTAAATTCCGGAACTCATTCTAAATAATTTGACGAGTACTATGAATTGTACGAGTGTCACGTGCTTACAGCGCTTGTCTCAAAATGGCCGACAGTCGACACAGCATGAATGGATCAATATACTTACCCGCTTGTGAATCGACGTATCCGACTGGACGAGTTATGTCTCCCCCGAAATAGAGGTGAGGTTTGGATCGAATGCAAAACAAACTGACTGCCGTATATATACGTCACTCTAGCAGAAAGTTGCGTGCGACACCAAGAGCTCCGAGATGCTACACGCTCGATCGTACACGCGCATCTGCGCCAGACTGCTTCTCCCACTACCTTTTGCTCGAAGTAGACCGTTGCAGTCTCTACCAAGGCGATGCTGCCACCTCGCAACGAATTCGGAAAATAACGCACTGGTATAGTGTTGTCTGTTGCAGCGTCGAGTCACTAGTATCTATTGCACTCTCTTCGATATTTCGTTCGATAAAAATTTATTTATTCGCGTTGAAAAAATATAAATATAAATATCTCCTATTTTAAATATTTGTATTTAATATCTTTTATTTTGATGTGAAAGATGAAATGTGAAATTGAAAGGGAAATGACATAAGTTAATACAATGTTGAATTAATTTTGAAGATTAATTTTTTGAATTAATAATTATATGACAAACAAATATCTAATTATACAAAATTTATTAGTAGAATTTATAATTTATTTCAGGATTGTACAATAATCGAATAAAAAGAAAAGATCAAGTATTTGAATATTTATACATTTCTACGAGAATGAAATTATATAGTCATGGAAGTATTAAAAATCATGTAATTTTTTTCAATTGCAAATTTTTTCGCTTTGTTTTTCATTTAGAAGAATATCGGCATATATTAAATAAATGTTTTAGAAAACATATCTCTTCGAAATATTCGGAGATAGCAAAAGTCCATTATAATATAATATTTTCTAAATAAATATTTTTTAACATTCTGAAATATCAAAAGTTTCTCACATAATAAGGAATTTAATTTTAATATTTAATTTTGAACTTTTAATATACTTAATAATAATATTTTACATTACAAAACGAATAGATTATCTTGTTTTTGCATTTTTCTCAATATTTTTTATAATGTCCGAAACACATATTTTTCATAATGACTTATATTACATTGCCATTCTAACATTGAAGATGTTTCGTTAAATTTTTCGTTAAGCTCTCTATTACTCGTGAAATATGTGCATCAATGATAAAGTTGTTTCGATATGCGAAAAATGGCCATATGTCGATAATTTTTCATAGGGAAAACTCGTTTCTAGATCCAATCGTATATCGTATACCGCATAGACGCGGGCTGACTGCGGCACTAAGCGAAGGTATACATTGAATGTGGCGTGTATCATCGCTAACAGCCAACAGGTTAACCGCGCTAACAGCATCGATAGCGCCGCAAAATGCCATAACTCATTCACGCCGAGGCAGCGCTTGGGAAAACTGAATCTCTAATCTCTTGATTAAATTCATCCCTCCGCGGCGAGATTTCGTATTATATCTTACTCTGATTAAAAGTCACCCACTCGCGCTAGATTTTCCGTAATGAATAATAATTCTCTATAAATTAATAACGGAATCAAAACTCATAAAGGAAAATACAAAATACAGCGTATATTTAAAATACAATTGCATGTTGCACATAAAATGAAAAAATTCTTTAAATTGCTTTTATACTTCAAATATTGAATTAAGTAATTTCCCAGTTTTTAATTTTTTGAGATGTTTCTGCTATTGACATATGTAACAATAAAGATTTTTATGACGAAACGTATGCTTGCACGTCAAGAAATTAATTATCAGCGATAATAATTCGTCGCTGCCGATTAGCAAGATGCGTTTCACCGCGCAATCGAAGTATCCGTTTCGATAAATCGCAATCGATTCCGCCGTGAAAACGCGTCGCATTCCCAGATATGCGATCGGCATATCACGACAATAGTGCACCCCGTGCATCATCGCTAACTGTCGACTGGCTAATCTCACTAACAACGTCGATAGCGCGTGTTGCACGGGACGCATCGACGCGTAGAACTTGAGGGAATTCCGAGTCGAGGAAACTCCATTAAAGCGGCTGCCTTGGCCCCCCTCGAACGCGTCTATACATTTACGATACCGTACATGCGTGCATGCGTGTGTGCGAATGTACAGCTGCCAATATATCTTACCGTAATGTATCTTAATTTTGCAACATTGCGCCTTTCCCACCTCTTACGAACTTCTCTATTCGCAATGAGATGCGTGTCACATGTGCTGTCGATGCATATGCACTGCATCGAGAACCGCAACATGTCTGTCATTGCTTCGCATAAACACAATTTCAAAATGTGATTGTAATCGCTGGATCGTTATATCTGCGTATATTTTTCATATGTTTGACACAGAAATATTATAATATAAAATAAAATACATGAGATACCATCAAAGCTCATATATACGTCTTGTCTCGTTGTAATTACTCCGGTGAAATTCAGCTACCGTACGCTCTCGTCGGCTAGAAATCAAGTCCTTTTTACACGTCTGACGGCTACGACCGCGAATGGGTCATTAAAACGTGCTGCAACGACGATGAACTCAGCAATATCAGTTCGGAGTATTACGTACGTGCATACGTACATACGTTTCGAAATATGGAACAAGGTATCTAACGAGGCGTAATAAGGTGATCTCGAGCAAAGTCCTTATGCCGTTTCGCGCACCCTTCGTCTGGATACATAGATTCATTTCGACTCTCATCACTGGATTCACATGACCTGCGGCAAATCCTAAATTACGACACTTTGAGCATAAAACGACGATTGATAAGTAGAGATCGATAAAGGAAATACCGAATAAAACATCAACTTTACTTTTTCGACTTACTTTATTTTTTTCTCGTAATATTAAAATTACAAAATAAACGTATGTCAAAAGATTATCATCACTTATAAAAATGAGATATATATAAATTTATATTCGGTATTTTCACGTTTATGATATTTTTATTATTAGTCACTTCGCACATTTTATAAACTATATAAGCATAAATATATTATTTTTTAAATGGCATGGAACAACGCACAAAAAAGAAGGAAAGTAAAAAATTTCTAGATTGTATATGCACAAGAACGAATTATTATATACGTCACCAAGAGTGACGTATACATATTTGATAAAGAAATAAGTAGAGGGCAAAATAAAATGATACTTTTTCGTGACTGCCGTGAATAGTATAGGGGCATTCGCATAAATCGATCGTGCGTAGCAAACGGTTGATTTGACGATGCCTCACGCGATTCGATTTTCATCTAATATTGGCGCTTTATGACGCACGACTTAACGACCTGTTGCAGTCGTTAATCCCAGTACGATGCCGGATATCGGCGCGTATAAACGACATTTCAAACGAATCCTTCGTAAGGCGCGGAATGGAAATGTCAAACGCAGCTACGTTACTGCTGATACGAACGTGAAACAGGAACCTGTAAAACGAGATGAAGGTTTGGACTCGTAAACACAATCTATTCGAAGGGATTCGATATCTCGTGACTGTCGCATATGTTCGTCTTTTTATTTCTATTAGATAGTTTGTCAAACCGTTTGGCGAAGACAAGTAGATAGTATCGTCGACAGACTCTTCACGTAAAAGTGAATAGTTTTTCTCGATATCATATAAGATGTATAACATCATCTATATAACAAATATAAAGATGCAGATGTATAGATGTGTGTGAATAGATGTAGATCAGTTTTTGAACTTGTATTTTATTTCCGGAATCTTATCGCAAATAACTTTGTATGAAATTGTTATTGACATTACGATGTACATACATCTGGAATATATATGTATACATTTTTGAAATATAACGGTAGTTATTTTGTGATAAAAAATGTTAAATTAATATTTACACAATTTTATATTCATTTCCGATGATAAATAACATGTGCGTTGAGGAGATGAAGAATAATAAAAATGGGGGACAATATTTATAATATCCGTTTTACACGATATGTATTTTTATTATGATTATCGAAAAATGTACATGTGTATTATATTTTAATCGACGCGTAGTAACGAAAATATTATCACTCTATATTATGTAATTCGTACTTTATCTTTATTTGAATATCTCATATTCTCATATGCTCGATGCGCAAGACGCTGCATTGCACGCGTCCGCTTCAGGAGGATTTGCCTTTTCGAAACGCCAGACGGAAGTTTATAAGAAAAGCGAGAAGCTGTGAAAGGAATTCAACTTGCAAATGCAAACTATTCAAGCGGAATCGATACGTCGTGATTTTTCGTATCCGTATCCCTTGCCTTTTCTCTAACTAGTATCCAACGATTTATTGGAAAGCTCTTGGAAGCCAGCTGATGTATCTGCGCTTTGTTACTTGCAAGATATTACTATGCACACATGTCGATGCGTGCCTTATCTTTCGTCTCAAGAGGTTTCCATTTCCGCTCTGATAGAATATTCAACAAGGGCAATATTATACGGACATCACCCCGAGATGTGTTATAAATCAGATATTCCTTTCCATCAATGTCCACGCACGTGACCAATGTGACTATAATCGGATCATTCGAGACAAGAAACAGTAAAAGGGGGAAAAGTGATGGAGGTCGAATCACGGCGTTGGTCAAAGCGTAAGAGATATTTGATTTACGCCAGACTACGGTCCGAGAGGTGTCAGGATGTTAGATGCGTTTCCTTCCACGACGCGAAAGGATACGCGGAAATCCCATGGCCGCTGTATAATGCAGAACCGCGCGTGCATTAGCGCGATTACATCGACATTGTAGCTATTGAATCTCCCCTCTCCCCATCCCTCTTGTTTGTCCTCCGTTCATTTTTTATAAGGCGTAGTCTTGGACTGCCATATGTCGCTTCGTTGGTGGCGCGAGGACTCCGTGACATGCATGGCATAAGGGATAATACACTACCCTATGTTTGCACAAGGAAGCTCCTACGAACGGGAATTATCGAATTTCAGGAACGGTTCTGTTATTATTTCAGCAAACATTCGTAGCTTGACCAGGTGAGCAACGGCAGGTCGGAACGATAGTCGAAACCAACCCTCGCCTTCTCGAGGACAATATAATGCGTCCCCGTTACCGTAGAATTTGTCCATAAATATTGGCTCAGAATAATCGATATAACGCTGCGAATATTCCAGAGAGAAATGAGTGAGTCGTGACAGCCCGTTATTATTGATACTGCCCGTTTTCACAATGTTTGCATTTCTTGCTGCTGGCGTTGATAATATGTAAATAAAATTTATTATAATTATTTC